CTCCGTTCGCCATGCGGAAGCTACCTGAGAAATATTAAGTGCGCATGCTCATCAGTTAAACTCGTGGTGAAGAAAGCATGGCAGCTGAAGGCGATCGAAGGAAAAAAGCTCTTCTGTTCTATTATCTTTGAAAACAGAGACGAAAAAGGAATAATTTGGCCCGTAGAGCAGCAATGAATCGACTATCTACGGAGATAATATCACCAGTGATATTCACGGAAATATTAATGTTCGGAGCCGAGATTTAATTACTGTACCCCGCAGGGACGACGTGTGGGGAGGCGTGTGAGAGGCGGAGAGACTATTAAAAGATTAGGCGGTTTTCTTTCATGTACGTCCGCCATTTTTAGGTCACCGGCTTTGTAAAGCCTGGCTTAATTCGTTGAGAATGCGCTCTAATATTGAGACTATATTATTTTTGATATTTATTCTGTCTTGTGGGTGTGTGAGTGCTAGGTGAACAGTTTCATGCTGAAGTTCTATTTAGATACTTGTGATGACTTCATTTTCTTGCATGATGATTGATCTTGGGTAGTTTTTTTTCTTAGAAATGTTTAAAAAGGTCAAAGAGTTAATTAAGAAGAAATGACTTCTCCATAGTGTGGTAGCAATTTTTTACCTGCATGGTTAGCGTACAATAGTCATCTAGTCATGTTTTTGCTTAGAAAAGTCAGTCATTCTGGTGAATAGATTATCTACAGTTTAAGCAGAAATGAAATAGGTAAATTAAATAGTTACATTAAGGTACATGCAGAATGTCAACTGTTGCTTAGTTTCCTGTCTCTGTCTCTCTGCAGACAAGTCCAGTTACAGCATATAGTTCAGAGCCTACAGCAGCAGGAAGCCTACAGCAAGCTGACACCACAGCAGTTACAGGGTCTGGCTCTACAATTACTGCTTAAACAACAAGTTCTGCAGCAACAACAACAGAAGTTATCTCCAAGGTATTATATCTGTGTCTGCCACCTTCAGCAACATTTATCAAATTTGCCATTTACAATGTTCTGCGTCATCAGTACCTTTGGCTGTGTCAGAGAAAATGGCATCCTACGCCCAAGTAACACTGAGAACATTGTGATACGGACTGTTTTGTCAATCATTGTTCCCTGTATTGTGTGTCACTGCTTTGATAGCTGACCAAACACATTTCCACTGAGAACATTGCGATATGCTTCATTTCATCAAACACTGCACCCTGTCTTACTGCTGTGATAGCTCACCTAACATTTATTTCAGATCTGTTGCTGAAGGTGCAGGCAGCCATCCACCGTCAAGCAGGAGCGTCTCCAGCCCTCCCAACACTCTGCAGCACACATTTCAGCGCTCCATGTCGCAGCCGGGAGATGAGGACAGCTCTTCAGTCTGGGGAGGGTCAAATGTGTCAAATTCGGGTAAATATTTGGTATATTATTATAAATACGGGATATTTTTGAAAAAGTCAAGATGGAGAATAACTGTTTGCTATATATTCTGAATATGCAGTCACAATGTCTCTTTATTATCAGTTGTACACTGGTAAATAGTATGAGGTGAGGAGAGTGTGTTAATTGTCACCATGCTTTGATTTAGGCGCCCCCTCGTGGCCAGCAGGTGGCAGTAGTGTGTGGGACATAGATCCGCCACAGGACCAACCATCCATTGAAGAACTTCAGAGACAGGAACAAGAAAGGGTAAGCTTACAATCTTCTGAAATTTTAAGCATCAAAACACAGTCTGTAATGTGACCCATAGAAAAAAAAGTTCTGAGATGAATGTTTTGCTGATACATCTACTATGGTATGGTATTAGCTTACAAACAAACAAAACTATTTGGAGTCTACTCCCCTCGTGTTCTAGGTAGGGGGGGGGGGGGGGTGAAAGAAAGAAAAAAGATAAGAATAAAAATCGAGCCCAAGCCAAGCTTGACACATTGTTTATTATGAGGTTTACATCTCACTATGGATGTCCAGTTTCTACTAACTTTCTTGTAACTTTCTTCTAAGGAGAAGGAGGCCCAACTCCAGAGACAACAAGAAGAGGAGCGTCAGCGCCAGGAGGAGGCAGCACGCCAGCAGGCCGAGGCCATGAGACAGGAAGAGGCGCGACGCCAGGAAGAGGCTCGCAGGCAAGAGGAGCTGAAGAGGCAGGAGGCACGGAGGCTGGAAGAGCTGAGGCAGCAGGAAGAACTGAGGATTCAAGAAGAGGCGAGGAGGAAGGAAGAGGAGAGACAGCTCGAATTAAAAGTAAGGGTAGTTTGACTCTTGAAACCATTGCAAATAGTAAGGTCAGGAAGTATGAACAGAAATATTTAATTGGAAAGATTCTGAATTGAATAGTATAAAACAGATTGACAGATGATGCTCGCTTGTAAGTCACAGACAGAATTAGTATAAAGTGAAATACTTTTATTTTGAATTTAAGTTGTATGTTGGTAGTAATGTAACAATGCCAGCAGAGAGAGATATTTTCATCAACCTCCTACCCTGTGTACCACTGTCTGAAAATACTACATCAAAATAAACAGACCCCTGTCAACTATTCATATGCTTGAAAATGAAAATCTTCATGTTTTCATTTCCAGAGGCAGCAAGAAGAGTTACGACAGAAGCAGGAAGAGGAAGAAAGGAGGAAACAGGAGTTACAGCGACAGAAAGAACAGAAGGAGTTTGAATTGGAGAGACAGAGGCAGTTTGAGATACAGAGGAGACAGGTACGTGAATCCCAACAGTTTCTCTAAAAAAGTAATCAAAGCTAACCTGCAAAGTCTTCAGATTTTTCTTAAACAATGAAATGGATGGCATAATGATGCCATACAAATGGTATACCATTGTATGTACATGCATCTGTTACAGTATTTTATGTTCTTCATCTACAGGAGGTTCAGAGACAGCAGGAGTATCAGCGTCAGCAGCAGGCTCAGCAGGAAGCGTTGAGGAGACTGCAGCAGCAACAACAGGAACAGCTGGCCAACATCCAGGTGAGGCATTTCAAATATGAATATATAGATTTAAATACCTTTCCATACGTGATGCAGCAAATAAGAAGTCGGATTTTAAAAAAGTGATGTGATATCCAATAATCAAGAGATAGTTTTGTGAGAAAGGATGGAAAAGGTCAGCTTGTTTGCTTTGTTATTCTGAAATTAGACTCCACTACTTTAAAATAAGATAATTACATGTTATTGTACAGGTGACTGTCTATTAGCTGCATCTTTTGGTGATACATTAGATAACTTCTACTGAATAGATACATCATAGACCACCATTTCCCATGTCTTGACTTGTTGTTTCAGTTACCTACCACAGCTAACTGGGCCGCCAGTGCTCCTTCTGCTAACACTCAGAATAATTCCCTGTCCCTGGCTGAAATACAAAAAATTCAGGAGGAGAAGGAAATGGAGGAGGTAAATACAGGATAATAACATAAAAACGCTTTGAATACTGAAAAGTCTGTAATTATTATTAGTATTATAGACTGCACTTTTCAGTCTGGTTGACTGGTTAGATAATCGCAGCCTCTGGAAGGTGAGCTGCAGTTTCCAACATAGTCATATAAACTGAACTGCATATGTGTTTGTATCAAAACAAAAGCTATAAGATTTTTTCTAAGGAAATTGTCTAATGGAGCTCTTTACCATACAAAGGCCCCATTCAGAATAAGGGACTAACTAGTCCGAGGTTAAATATGACCGACGTACTTCCCCACGGGGAATCTATTCAGTGTCTATTAGCGGATGAGATGGCAAGCTTTGTAGTAGTTTGCCACATTTGACCCTCGGACTAGTTAGTCCCCTATTCTGAACGGGGCTTTAATATGTGTTTAATATGTGTTCTGGGGCTGTGCTAAGTATCTATGGTGATTTCAGCACCAACGCCAGGCAGAGCTCCACAGGCAGCAGATGCAGGCCATTCACGCCCAGCAGCAGCAGCAGAAGTCCTGGGGACCTCAGCCAACTGGACGCCCAGTGACCGCTAAGTCTCTCCTAGAGATCCAGCAGGAACAGGAGCAACAGCTACAGAAAGATAAGAAGAAGAACAGACAGCAGCAGCAACAGAAGGTAATGTCTTGGTAAAAGCTTGATTAAAAATATACAGGTCAGAAAATTAGTGTTTTAAAGATGTTCTTCACATTATTTCTTCATGTTTTTTAATACGGTAAAAATTTCTGTTCCATTACCCATGTATTAGTTCAGACTGGTAACCTACAGGACTGTGGATCTAATTTGCCTTATTCTAAGAAATTATACAAAGTCAATGATATAAATGATAAAAGTGAACATGTGCCAACATTTATCATGCCAAGTTATATATGCACTGATTTGACCAGTATCTGTTCTGGTCTCGAGCAGTCGTCCAGTATTCCCCTGGCTACTGCAGCTGTGTGGGGCAGTACACCCACCTCATCACACAACAGTTATCATGATAAGTTATATGTTATATGTTCTCTGGTCTCCAGCAGTCCACCAGTATTCCCCTGGCTACTGCAGCTGTGTGGGGCAGTACCCCAACCTCATCACACAACAGTTATCATGATAAGTTATATGTTCTCTGGTTTCCAGCAGTCCACCAGTATTCCCCTGGCTACTGCAGCTGTGTGGGGCAGTACCCCAACCTCGTCACACAACAGTTATCATGATAAGTTATATGTTATATGTTCTCTGGTCTCCAGCAGTCCTCCAGTATTCCCCTAGCTACTGCAGCTGTGTGGGGCAGTACCCCAACCTCGTCACACTGGGCGTCAGAGGGAGCCTGGGGAAACCAGAAAGGAATGGGATTCTGGGACGACGCCATGGCTGCACCCAGCAATAAAAAAACTTCCAATAATACCAAGTAGGTGGTCAGAGAGAGGAGTTAATGAACTGATGCATTTTACGGGTTTGAAACTCGGACGTACCAAGATGCATAAGATTTTCTCATGTGCATTAGACAAAAAAATTGCCATTCAGATCAGTTTCAACAAGCTGTGTCCCAGTTTACGTAGAAGATAATTTAATATTTCAGTGTTGAGTCAATATTTTATCCAAAAGTTTTCAAATGTAGGTAATATATATGTGTTGCTGAAATGTTTCTTGTTAATTCAAAGGCTCCATTCTTGAAATTTACCATTTAAACAGAATAACACTATGGGTAGAATGAACTATGCCAGATGTTTTTATGTACAGACACAGATGTGTCTGTACATATAGCCATCATCTGCGTCTGTCGTCGCCGTCGTCGCTGTCGTTGCGTCGTCGCCGTGCACTTTTACCGATAACACGATAAGTGGAAAACCATTTTACCTTTTGACTTGAAACTTGCAGAACTGATGACTATTCATAATACGCAGGTCAAGTTCGAAAATCAGCATGAT